GACAAACAAAATGTCGAATAGAATATTGGACATAATCAAAAAAAGACACCAGAAGAAGGTGAATAACTATTGGATCTCTAGGTAGCTCAAGGTCCAACAATCCAGCAAAAATGAAAATGCCTCTTGAATGACGGATCTCACAGTCCAGACAAGAAATGAAGATAAATTAGTGAATCTGTCTTCGATCCTTCTTGACCTGGGCACCATAGATATCCTCAAGGAGGAATTAAATTTTGCACTTCGGAATGAAAGGAAGGCAATCAAGGACATTTTGGTAGAGGTAATAAATACCTCTGTGAAGCTACCTGAAGAATCAAAAAGAGAGCTTAAACTGGAAATCATCCCAATAGTCTTGGTGCATCAAGAACTCACGGAAAGGAACAATATAACCAAAATTATTAGGGAATTTAGAGGTAACGATCAAATAGTCTTACATGTTGACAAAAGAAGTGCCACAGTTGAGATGGACAGACAGGAATATACAGAAAAAATGGGAAATATTTTCAGGGACACTACAACTTATCGACTCCTAGCAAAAATCCTAACATTTACAATCAAAGGGACACTACAAGAAATGCTGCAGGAAATAAATATGAATGGAGAAATGGACAGATGTACAATGAATTCACTCATACGAAACAATGCAAAAGCCCCAGTAGCATACGGTTTGCCGAAGGTACACAAAGAAGCAGAATCATTGAGACTCTTACTTAACAGTAAACACGGACCAACAAATAAACTGGCAAAATTAATCTGTCTCAAATTAAGCAAAGTGAATAACAAATTACCGAATACACTCAAGAACTTATACGAATTGTACCAAAGAATCGAAGGCACCATTTTTGAAGAAAACGAACCTTGGTGAGCTTAGGTGTACAGCCCATGTACACTAACATCACAGGCACTACTGAAGATCTTGGAAGAAGATGGCATTCTGTAGACGGAGCGAATCCGTAAAGAGTCTCTAACTCGAGTAATCAACCTAACAATAATAACTACCTATTTCACGTTTAACGGCTCCATTTATGAGCAAATATTTGGGCTTACTACCCTCACCTCTGTTGGCTAATATCTACATGGTCATGCTAGAGGATAATTCCAAAATGTCATCTCAGTGGCCAGCAGTAAACATGCAATATTTGAAGATATGAAGACCAAGATGGTGTGGCCCCCGGTATGGTCGCAGTCTCCTTTCGATTCATAGAAGTAGGTTGCCACAAAAGGGCACACATTTTGATGAGTAGAATGTAAACAAGTCACAAGTTGTGATAGGACGGGAGTTGGATAAGAGGGTAAAGAGTTGATAGATGGACCAGGACAGAAGAAGGAGTGATAGTGTAACCGTTTTGGCAGAATGTTCATCGAGGGATTGACTTCACTTGTCTCTTTAACAAGTTCGTAGCTTAGTGCGGAGAATGGCAGAACTCACTGCTGATGCCGACTCCGATGCCGGTGAAACGTCTGAGAATGTACCAAGTCCACGGTCTGATGGTGGTAATTATGATAACTACTGTGGCAGAGGACTTCGGACTAGGTGCGCTCTGCTAAGTCGCCCTTACAACAAGACCAAGTTGCGACAACGAGGTCAACCCACTTCTATAGACGCTATTTTGATGACTACTTGGCACTCTGGTCGCATGTAAATGAAAAATTAGACGATTTCCTGATTTTCATAAACAAAATGGATGGAAAAGTCAAATTTACCATGGATGTAGAATAGAAAGGACACTTAGCCTTCTTGGATATGAAGGTTATTCGCTTCGAGAAGAACCCCAAGAAACTCCTTTTGCGAAAGAAATCGCATGCTGGAATAACTCTTAATTTCCAGTCTAACCATATTTGTGAATTTAAGATTAGAATACTCCGAAGTATGGTCATAAGAAGCCTCCGATTTACTGATTCTGAATTATAGGAAGAGGAACTGGAACAAGTAATTTACATGAGAGACCACCTATGGAATGTGGGGCAGGAAATTAAAGGCTAAAGGAATAGCTGGACCAGATATAGGTCACTGGTGTCTGTGCATTACTCGTGTATGTGCCTTAATGGGAGGTGAATGATGACCACGGTGTCTACTAGCCAACATACACATGAACATGCTAGTACTCTAGGATTAAATGAGTGTTAACTTTATTAAAAAGAGGAGTGTGTTTTTCGCGGTTTAGGGGGATTAAGGGAAGCCGTGTAATTTCACATCAGCGGTTGACTTTAGCCGGACACGGGGCCTCAAAGGATGAGACGCAACGTAGGTGGGAATGATAGAGAGGATAACCGGTTCATGGGTTTTAAGCCTAGGGAGAGTAAGATTTCCAGGCACTGGCATGGACATTGATATAGGCATCATTTGCTGTAAATCCTGGACTATGTCGTAATCGAGAAAATGAGTTGAAGGCTCTTAGACAGCCAGATTTCAGACAGTCAAACAGTGATTTTTATGCTTAGAGTCGGCCAATCGACAAGCAGGGTAGGAGAAAGTGGGCTGAATGAAGGTCAGGAGCCCTGCAGACAGCCCCTGGTGCAGGTTTTAGAGATGACTACGCTTTAATAAACACACCTGCAAAGACACACTCTTAGGGTAACTTGAAAGATACGAGAGCACAATATGTTATGAATAGGTAGATGGGACATAGGAAGTAGAGTTGAAAGTAAGATATATTCAGCACTAGAAGGTAGCCCAAAAAATATGGAAGAGTGATGCCACAACGGATGAACATTAAAATGGCTAAGGAGATTGCCTTCACTTGTTACTTTGATACGTTGTAACTATGTTCTAACGATGGTGCCTTGCACTGACGATGCTGGCGAAACGTTTGGGCATGTGTTGTCAATGGTCTGATGCTCGAAATCAGGAATACTATGGTAAAGGGCACAGGACTAGGTACGTTACACAAGGTCGCCCTGACGCTGCGACAAAGTTGCTTAAACAAGTTCGAAGCACTACTGGAGCTAAAGGAGACTGCAACCAAATAGAACACCACACCATCTTGGTCTTCATAGCTACGATAAATAAATTAAATCACTGTCTAAACAGTCCAGCCGAATTTAATATGGCTTATCAAGGTAAAGATTAACTCCATTTAGCAGAATTTTCCCAATAACTCTGGCAGCTAAGAATAGATATACTTTGGTACTTGTCGATGTGTATTCATTTCATCTACAACACTTAAACCTTCCTATGACAAGGGTTTTTTAAGGTAGCAAGATTCGCAACTATATTATGGTTCTCTCCAGTAGATCTTGTCGGTCTCAGGAAATTAGCTGGTGTAGAAAGGGAACCTCTGCTAATATTGGTTCAGTGGAACCAACAGACAGCTGTTTGCTTCTTATCTGCCCAAGGCTACATCCCAGATCTTAAGATCTACTAGAAGTTTATGAATCAATACCTTTCTCTGTAGCTAGTCATCGATTTTACTTTGTGTTGTGGTACACCACTTGATGCTTAACAACTTAAAACTACCTTGCAGGTTCTGTGAAATCCATCCCACCATGAACTGCATAAAAAGCAGAATACATTGTGGAATAGTCATTAGGCAATATCTCGTGATAAGCAATAAGCGAATTATGGGCAAACGTTTTGACGAGCAGAATGTAAAAAAGTAAGAAGTTGTGATAAGGCGGGAGTGGAATACGAAGGTAAGGAGTAGATAGATGGGCCAGGACAAAAAGAGGAGTGATAGCACAATCATTTCGGCATAAAGATGATCAAGGAATTGACGTTATTTGTGTCTTTGACGAATTGGACCTTGGTGGTGAGAATAGCAAGACTAACTGATGACGCCGACTACGATATCGGCGAAACAACCGAGAATGTACCAAGTACGCGGTCTACTGCTGGGAATTATGATAACTACTATGGCATAGGACTTCGGATAAGGTGTAGCCAGCTAAGCCGCCCTTACAACAAAACCAAATTGGGAAAACGAAGTCGACCCACTTCTATGCATAGAAAGGAGACTTCGATCATACCGAATACGACACCATCTTGGTACTCATATCTTCGATTAGAGACTTCTAGTTAAATTTTTTCCAGAATGAGATAAATATGTCCTACTGTTCCATTAGGCTTCACATAACCAAGCCTCCCAAAAACATATTTCACTCTGGGTTGCCTGCAGCTTCGATAGAGCTTGGAGAAAATAAGCTTATTGGAGGGTAGGCTAGGTGAAATTTAATAGAACCGGAAAGCATCGCAAAGCCTACTCATCTTATTATGCGAAAAACTAAATTATCATTCCTCAAATAGCCTTAAGCGACTAAGATTGAATATGTCCATATCCAAGAATTATTGATACTATCGAAAACAATCAATTTCACAAAGCCATAAGTATTTTTAACTGAATATAGCCCAAAATTGGCAGTATTTTTAGTTGTATGCTTAAAAAAACGTGAGATTTTATGCATCACGCTTCCTTTATTATTTACAATTAATCTTAGAGGAACACCCTCCTTGCGAATATTAGGGAGACCGTGAGTCTTGGGAGCACTTGCATCTTTCTGGAGTAGTTAATTCATTTCCACTTCTACATTTCACCATTAGTTACGCATACCTTAAAGGCATCCTTAAGCCTAGTCGTATTTCTGTTGGATCTCTCAACAAAGGCATATATACCAGTGTTATTTAAATGAACTAACATTTTTCCTACATTACTTGACCTAGCCAAGTACCATAACCACTGCTCCACCTTTGTCGGCTTTCATAATGATTAGATTATTACAACACAGATATGTGGAAGCCCTACTAGGAGGACAAGCTTTCTTTGGCAGAATTATATGGTCAAAATGAAGGATCACCTCTAGTTCAATACTATTCCTAACTTCTTCGGGCAATCTATCAGATAAGCTAATTAATTAAGCATGTCCAGGGAATCGTTTGCCTCATTTGGAAGAGCAAAAGTGAATCCTCTTTCCAATAAAAATACTACACTACCCTCCAGAGCTGTACCGGATAAATTGATAACCTTATCCTTCCCCAGTTGGCTACAACTATGGTTAGTACGACTTACCTTAGGCGAAAAGTTTCTCGACCTAATTCTAATCCCTAAGTTCCGGAGCTATTTATTATGTATCCGTCTAGTCGTTCTCAGTCCACTACTTACGAGTCAGCCATATCTAGTAAATTAAGGATATCTACATAGCTGAATATTTCTAAAAGTGATTTACTTAGCCTAGTTTTGATGCTAATTAGTTCGTGTAGTTTGTTTATGCTTTCCTCGAGTCTAGTTTTAACCAAACTATCTGATACCTGATCAAGTACTCTACTGGTGGGCGTCGGTAGATTGCCACATCCACCGAGTAAAAAATACCGGGCAACAACAAAATGAGAGATACAAATTTAAAAAATCTAATTCTATTAACTTGCCGGGATATCGTTTTCTTGGTTTTAGTGTGCCGAGAAGATAATTCACAATTCGAACCATACGTACATTGATCTGCATCAATCTCAACGCAGTATAAAAGCCAAGCGGCTGCAGTACAAAGGAATTCAACTGTCCTCTTCTGGTGAAATAGACGTTCGAATCTCTTTAACTTACACATTCACATGAAATGAAAGTTCTAAAAATATTGTCTTCCTATTGTCAACCCCCCATACCGTATTCAGCCGTTTATAAATAGGACACTATTTTTCCTTTCCTCCTTTCGTTTTGGGCCCTCAAATTTTGGACTTGTAGAATGCAAGCGTTTTATATTTTAGAGACAATCCGCATCTTCATGGATCAATACCTATTCAAAATTGGCTTTACACGCCTGTATTATTCGACCCAAAGGGCCCTTTATCGAGGGTTGTGATGACTTAAACATCGCTTTTAGTAGAGGCCTTAATAAAGAGGTTATTAAATCTACCTTTTTCATTCTCATCGCTAATTGTTATTATATTTTCTTGCCACGAATAAACTGAGAGATGCCAATACATATACGATAAGCCCGTATATTGTTGTTTTTCGTGATATCGTGTCCTTATAAATTTATTGTATTTTCCAATATTAGAAAGAAAACCATTTAACCACCAACAATAAAAACACAGCAATATTCTAATAATTCATTGATCCTACTCATTTACTCAATTAATAGCGCTGTGAATAAAGTAAAAATAAAAACGTTTTGTAAAAGGCATATAATGAATGACATGTGGCGGTAGAGAAAGTAATGACAAAGTAGATATTTCCAACGAAGCGAAAAGAAGATATACAATTTA